CGTGAAAAAACACTYTCGATGTCTGTTTCAAAAGCAATCAACTTTCTTAGTATATGCGATCCTCAACAAGATACGGACATACCATTAACAACAATAGAGAGGCGTTCAGATAGAGATTTAAAAAATACTGAAAAAATACTCAAACCGAATTTGATTGGAAAAGATGAATACACWATGATTATTGTACGAAAGGTAAATTTGACAGTACGATATAATTTAATGCTTATTACAGTATTAATAAATACATGACTTAAGTCATAAACAATTTATATGTAAAACTTAGAACTTACTGCAATACTGTATATACTATGTTATTTCACTATGACAATATTATAATTTTAAACTCACATTCTTTAATTTTAGGCTGATATACCGCCGGAAATTAAAAAAATTGATGAATCCGGTGGCTATGGTAAATTAACTTATACCATACATATACTATCATCATGAACTTATATCGAATCCTCCGGCAAACGTTAGAGTAGCRGCAAAAATCTGTGAGCAAATATTTGAAGCAGATGGTAATTTTTTATATTTAAACATCCATATATTTTTAACAATAATTGATGTTTTCAACAAAAGTTTTCAATTGCTTTGAGAATTATATTTATTGTAACTCAGGATAAAATATGTATATAAAATAATCAGTTATAATTGGTTATTCATTTATATTTTGTAGCGCCAACAAAACAAGAAGCCAAAATGAAAGTATGCATTGATGTTCTGGAAGTATTCTACAAGTATGTTTATTTACGATATTTACTATTTTCCGACCTTTTTCGTTAATAACATTTACGTGAAATTATTTAATTCCAGCTATGAACATCCGTGTGCTTAGTCTTAGACCTTAGTGCATCAAATAACTACCCATGAGTCATGACTGCATTCTACCTAATCACAAACTAAAATATAATATTGCATACTAATGTCCATTTTTTACTTAGTAGTTAATTGGTACTTTCAAAACTTACTAAGTATATGTTATATCCACATAGTGAAATCACTCGTTTTATGTAATRGATTAGTAAATTATTAATATAAATTCAAATATTTTTTGACATAATAATATTATATAAGTTATAACTAATTAAAAATAAATAAAAATTCTGTATATTTTTCAAAGCAAAAAGGAGAAATAACGTATGACAAATTAATACAATTAATTATATAAGAATATTATATAAAATATATATTATAACATAACAATATTTAGTTTTTAAATTAATTATGAATTATATAATGTCATTATGACAAAAATGATTTGAATTTATATCAATAATTTAAAAATGGACTAGAAAACAATGTCATATTTACCTTTATATTTTCACTGAATCATGACGACGAACGGTAATATTATTGTATTGACATACGTATATTACAGTCCAATTTGTTTAATATATTATAATCCCCAATTGTTTACATATTAGTTAATTGGTACCTACTTTCAAAACTTACGATAAATCACATGTGCATATGTCACATCCCCAATTGTATATCACTCATTTCATGAACTAGATGGGGATGTGACATATACATAATATTATGTGATATATAGTAAGTAATTATTGTGTAAACAATATAACGAGCGTCAAAACAAAATAATGAACGAACGAAAAAATCAGTCTCATGTTTGAAAAAATAAGCAGGAAAGATGTTAAGTCGTCATCATTTTTCAATTTCATCCACTCGAAATAGGTTCAACAGTTAGGATTAGAGTATCGATACCATTGCAGATGTAGATCGTGCTCGCAGAGCTCTGCGGAATTTATTAGAAGTCGTTATACATGTTGAAAATGATCTTGACAAATTATGTGAGTACCTACATATAAACTATTAACTATTCAAATATTTACAAAAAATGAATATTATACTTTTAATATAGATACAAATTATAATATATTGTAAAGGTATGTGTATTGTGAAATTATAGGTAGGTAGTAGGTACACGCTTCAAATGTAAAACGATATATTGGATTCCAAACTTAATTAAGGYTTATTAGATATTAGATTATATATAATATTTAATAGATTTACAAGTTTTTTTTTGTACTTAAATAATATATAAGTTTAATAGTAAATAATTTTGAAAAATATTGAAACAATATAACAATGTGAATGGTTTTTTTAAAACTATAAGTATTAATTATGTTTTTATGTTTATTTCCACAATTACAATCTTTTGTTATGCTCTAATATACATACAGACATACAGTCATACAGATACATGACAAAATTAACAAAATTAACAAAATTAAATATTAATATTAATTTCATTGTTTGTGTTTTAAATTCTGAGCGTAGTGATGCGTGTATAACTCTGAAATTTTCGACATAGGAATCTTTGTTATAGGATAAAGAATCGAGTTGATACCCTTGGATAGCCAAGGTTGAAAGTTCATAGATGTTTTCGAAAGCATCAGGAATAACTATTTTTGACAAAATCKATATTATTTTTAACTCAAAAACTAATAACGGTAAATATTTTAAAGTCATTGTTCACACAAGTCTCATTTTAGAGAAAAAAAATTCTTTAAATTTACATTTAATATGTAAATCGATACATTTTAAAGATATATAATTTTTTTCTATAATTATTGTCTATAGGTATGAAAATTTCACTAGATAAAAAAGTTTAATAATTTAATGAAAGGTTCCAGATAAGTTATTAAATATACATTATACATAGGCACAATCATTTTAAAGCATCCAAAGTCAAAATTTTGACAAAATTCATCAAAATCACGACAATTTTCAAATTATTATGTGATTGAACATTTTTTTAAATGTTTGAATTTTATAGCTTAAGATTGAAAAATATAAGAAAGTAATATAGTAAATAGGTAATATCTACAATAATTATGTATAATTGAATACAAATTTAACATATCCATTACAGTGACCTACATGACACCTGTATGGCTGTATATGTACAGCCTAGCGGTACGCCAGTATGAAGTATCAACTGCTGTAGTTCACTTTTTTATATTTTTGTATAGGTTTAATTACAGAAAACATTTTATGTTTCTTTAATACTATTGTTAAAAGTTACTTGTATGAATTTAGTAAAACATATGATTTACATATTATAACTTATATTTTATCGTTATTTTTCGCGGTATTAAGATAATTAATAGTTATAATTATGTTTATACCTTTACTTAATATTTTAAGTTAAGTATTGCGTGTGTATTGATTTAATATAAAAAATAAACATAACTATTATTATTACAATAATAATATTATTTTTAAATTAAAATTTTTATAGGTATATTGCTAATTTGTAAATACTGATTTTATTGAATTTTTAATTAATAACTTTATTATTTATCTAATAATCTATCATCTGTATAGTATAACATTGACTTGACAAAATCAGAAGCTTATAGTGAAGACAGTACCTACTTGCTAATTTACTAACGACATGGAGTGAAGAAATAGTGTTCAGACGTGAAGCAAACTATACACTTTTAACACTAGCTTACCCTTTATACCGCATGCAGGGCATAACTGAAACGTAGTAGAAAATATAATTATACTTTACACTTGTTAAATAATTTATGTTTATTAACTTACTCGCCCACAGCCACTCGCATGATTCAGTGCTCCAAAGTAACTCCTGCAAAACAAGTCTCTTCGGGATGCATTTAGTATTTCACATTATATATAATTAAACTTCACATGACACAAAATAACTGCTATATAACATCTCTGAGAATGATTTTTGCACACAGGGTACATTATAGTTTATAGACGATAGGTAACAATAATATCGATTACAGTTCAACTGTTGTCTGCTTGAATTGTTTTATATAACAAGAAAATTATTGTTAATGTTGTCGATAATTGTAACTTTCTATCGGTATACATTTCACGATCAAGTGGACAAGTGGTTTTATACTCTAGTGCGCAAGCGGAGCATAGTATAGTTATTAATTATTATTCCTAAATTATAATAATAATTATTTACCTATTGTATATAGTTAATTAAAAAGTATATCAAATAATGAAATAAATGTTTAAATTCGTAACATAATATTATTAAGTTTATATTTGTGTATAATAACATTATGTACACMAACTTATTATTATTATTATTTTATAGACGTAMATAAACAATATTCGATCAAGACATCAAGTGTAAACTGTAAATGTTAATTTGTATCAGCTTATTATATTGTAATAATTATTAATTAATTATTAGTTAATCGACCACTAAGTTTGTAATTTTATTTTGTTTTATTAATAGTAGATACCTATACTAGTGAAATTATAATTTAGTTTAAAATTATACCTATGTAATAATTAATATAAGTTAGTTATGTAACGATCATTTTTATAAGGCTTAATATTATTTTATTGTGATTAACTTGAATTGTTTACAGTGATCAACATGCAGAAGATATATATATATAGTACCTACTACCTTGTGGCTTGTACATAAAGATCAATTATTTTATCGTGGTGATAGGTAATTATTTGCCTTTATTGATAAAAAATAAGAACAGCAATTTATTTTTGAATTTGAATTTGAGTATTATTGAATGTATTATATTATATTATTAAGATTGCATTTTCATAAATTGATAATAGCTACTTACATTCTACGTAAAAAAAAAAAAACAACAGGATCCACGAGTTCTCTGTGATTGTATTGCTTTCACATGCAACCATCYGATAACTGCTAGTATTATTTCAGATTTGATTAGTCTTGTGTAATGTATAATAACGACTACAGTATCGTTTGTATTATTAATTATTAAAATTAAACTATGTTCAATTTAATTTATTGACACAGAATAATGACCYAATTTATAGGTAATTAAAAAAAAAATATATTTATATATTTATTTAGATATAGGTACATATAATATTCCTTAACACTAAAATAACAGGGAGTACAATCATTGGTATCATTAATATACCTACAATAGTAATATTATTAATATTAATAATATTATAAATATAAATCAAAATCATAATTTATATCTCATTGATAGCAATTAAAAGGATTATATTAATATTATCTACTTGAATTAATCTATAAATAACATTATGTTAAGTTACCACCATTTGAATTTATAAATTAAAACAAGTTAGATCCAATAATATGGATTTGGAAGGGAGGGGAGAATTATTAAGCTAAAATTAAAAACAATTTTTTTTATCACAATCATTTAAGAAAAACAAAATAATAACATAGGAATTAGTGAAAACGTTTCGTTTTGATTCAGGGAATATCAGTACGAAACATTTCCACTTTATTCTTATGTTGACGTTAGTTTGACAATAAAAATAGGTAAWAATAAAGGGTAATAAACTAATAGGTAATAATAAAAATAGGTAATAATATAAATATAATAATAAAAACAATAATGACGCGTGCCTATTATTTGAATAACGTTCTCGCGTAATACCAAATGCGGAAAAAGTATTCGCTCCTCTTCAATAACGCAGCGTTCGAATAAGACGATATGTCTGCGTCCATGTTATTTTCTCTGAGCCATGATGTTGTGGTTTCCGACGTTTGTGTCAGAGATGGTTTGGACTCCATTACCGATTCTTCAACGTCCGACTCGTAATAATCTGAGAAAATAACGTATCAAATATCATTCAATGTAGATGGAATGATGTTCCTTATCTTCCACTACGTTTATTAATTATTGACCCCCTCCTCACCTCCAAAAAAATGCCTGTTTTTGATATTTAGCATAACAAAACATTTTATTTGTTGTCCATCTTAAAATTAATATTGTGTGGCTAATTTATTGTTAGAAATTTTAACATCACAGACACTCTTTACAATACGCTCTAAAATGTTGTAAAACTCTAGAAGGCACATAAAAAGGACAATTGTGCATGTTTAGTTTTCATAGATATAGGTATAATATATAGCCCTTAAATCATAATATCCTATAGGTTATAATGTTCGAGTGAGGAGAGAAAATTAAGAGCTGAGGGTAACAACAAGGTTTCTCCAATTAATACAATTTTTCAGGAATCACTTTAAATTGTTTTAAAAATGTCTTGAGGGTTGCAYTAAAATAAAAACCAGAAATCTCCATTTATATGATATCTCTGTATTTAACAGTAGAATTTGTCCGGTTAATGCATCGAACCACGTAGTTTCGTTTTCTTTATAATGTGCAATTAAAAACTGATTTTGACCAAAATATCGAGATATCTTGTTGTTTCCCTCAGGTCTACAAATTTTAATTTGTAGTAAATAATAATTTGATATTTTTGAGATGTGTATAATCAGATTTAATTATTTTACCATATATACAACAATATATATTAATTATAGCATTTAATATGTATATGATTTGCAATATAATATACAACATCAATGTAAATGGCTCACCTGTCGGTTTTTGTACAGTGTATGGTTCTTCAGTTTCCAGTGGTTCACTGATACCCACTTCGTTTTTGGCCAGTATTCTAATTTGGTACCTATGGTTCTCCTGAAATTAAAAAAAAATACAATGCGTGTTTATTAGTAAAACCGTTGAGGCACTTACTACCTATAATTCACAGTGTAAAAATAAATTATACTCATATTTTCATTAAGAAATGTAAACTTTTTTAAAATACATTAAAATTAATGATGAAAAAATGAAGTTTAATAGGTTTTAGAAATAATGAGTATGAACACTTAAATATACCCTCTTGTATATCATTTTATATGTATTGTATACAAATATTATATAAGATAATATATTAGATTTATTTTTTGTGTAACTTAATGAAATTAACCAAGTCGTGATTATATTTTTATAGTTTCTAATTTGATTATAGAGTCAGTTCTCCGATAAAATAAATTTGTACCTGTAAGTCTTTGATGTTGAATTTTTGTACATCCGCTTCCACCCGGCCAACTTCCATCCACATAGTTTTCTTCTCGTCCCGAATAGCTATGTTGTAACCAAGCAGCGGAGCACCACCATCCGTTTCTGGTACGCCCCATTCAACGATCACTGCGTTGCTACTCAGGTTCCGAACTTCCAACGGAGCAGTTGGCGGCGAGGGAACGGCTAGAAATTTAAGATGATGAAAACGATAATTAAACAAAACATTAATATATTAATGGTATTAATTGTCCCTTTTGCTGTCGTTGAACGGATATAGTATTACAATCCTGTAACATTTTGATATAATTCTTCTGTACGCAAAAGAACACAAACCACCACCTTATGTATACTTACTAGCATGGGTTAACAGACTGACTAATTTAGTTTCAACCGGTTGACTTAGACCGATGCAATTTTCTGCATAGATCTTGAAGAAATATTCCGATTTTTCTTTCAAGTTTTCTACGCAATACTTCATTACGGTCGGTTCTAGCGTGGCTACTTTGAACCACTTATTTGTCGTGTTCAGCTGCTTTTCAATCACATAACCTGTGGAGTATACATTTATTTTGTTGTTGTAGGTATAGCTTAAAATTATTGTTTAAAATATKGAGAAAAAATAGTAAAGGGTAAAGAACAATATAATGATGCAATAAATAAAAGTTTTGTTTTATGGCATGACGACACGTTTATCGTTTCTGATATTATAAAAATGGTGAATAATGATTTAATTGCATTGTGTAGTTGCATTACTACACTGCACGGCTTACCAAAGAATAAAGATAATAAAGTATCTATAGTGTTAATTTAAATTAAATTGTATCCTTTCGAACATAATTGTAATCCGTACCTGTGATGTCAGATCCACCATTACTTTCTGGTAGTCCCCAATGCAACGTAACGCTTTTACTTGTAATGTCACTCACGGTGAGTTCTGTGGGCGGCGACGGTGAAGCTAAAAATCATTATATAGTTCAAAATTAATTTTATGATATATATAAAATTATTTTTATCACTCAAAGATTGTGACATTGGCCATGTACCTTGTAAATATATGTACAAAATATGTTTATAAAATGAATCGTATAATGTTATGGTAGAAGTATTAAATTTATTAAAATAGCTTATTTTTTATGTATATTATGTCGTAACCACTTCTTGAAATCGATTTTTTCATGAAAATATGACCATTTCGTGAAATGGAAATACGTTTTTTACACTTTGTGAAATTCAAAAATATTTCACGAAATGGTCACTTTTTCATGAAACGTTCACTCAAATTTAATATCGTGTAATTTTTTTCACAAAGTGGTCGTTCACTTTGTGTACTGAAGTACAACATTTAACAATTTATTCTACCCTTATAGACATAGGCGGAACTAGACATTTTAATTAGACTGGGCCACTCTCGAGAGTCGAGAGTCATTTTGCACTTAGAATAGTTACATAAATTATAGATTATAGTTAATTATATAAGTTATAGATTTAACTTAAATAATTATGTATAGTGATAAAGTTTATTTATATCATATTAATTTATTAACCGTATTGTGAACATTTTTTATTTATTAGAGAAGGAAAATGAATTGTGACAACGACTGTTACATTTTAGATTACCTCTAAAACAAACACATCTTATGGTTTGACACGCACATTTATACGAACAACTTAACGGAAACGTCAAGTTTGAATATATCCATATTAACCTCGTGCCCATGTCAAATAATATAAGAAATGTTTAAATAATATCTAGATTATACTATACGACTATTATACTGCAATTACCAGACTATCTGAAATGTGTAGATGATATTAATTGATTTTGATAAAAGTCATAATCATAATGATGATCATACAGAATTAACCTTGCGTGAAACTGTCYAAATTTTATCTGGARGTCAGGGATTTGTAAGTTGTTCGTGTAAAAATGCTTATCAAACCAAAATATGTGTTTGTTTTAAATGTAATAGTCGTTGTCAAATTCATTTTCCTTCTCTAATAAATAAAAAATGTTCACAATACGGTTATTAAATTATTATGATATAAATAAATTTTATTACTATACATAATTATTTAAGTTAAATCTATAAGGGTAGAATAAGTCGTTAAATGTTGTATTTCAGTACAAAAAAAGTGAACGACCACTTTGTGAAAAAAAATTACACGATGTTAAATTTGAGCGACCATTTCGTGAAATACTTTTGAATTTCACAAAGTGTAAAAAACGTGTTTCCATTTCACGAAATGGTCTTCTTTTCACGAAAAGATCGATTTCACGAAGTGGTCACGATATATTATATACTATTATGTTATGTCTACGTACACGGCACGCTTATACAGGGTGTCTAAAACAAGTTTTTTAATGTAGTAATATTTGTTTAATTTTCAAAATATTTTTGAACTTTGTAGACAATTTGTATGACGGGTCATTGAGAGGTTTCTTTAACCGGTGTTGTTAATAAATCTCACAGTAGAAAATAATGTATGTATATATTATTTTGAATAAAATATAATTTATATGGGTTCGTATAGGTTTAGCAATATGGTTTTCACTACCAGTAAGCAAACTAATCAAGTAGAAATATTTAAACAAGCTTATAGATATAGAAAATTAGTACTTTAATATTACAGTATAATATAGCTGTCGAATCAGATAAATATAGATTGATTTAAATTTTAAACTCAACTCATCTAAGATAACACACTAATTAAAAAAAACAAACAATAATTTTATAAGGCTTAAATAATAAATAGGCTATAAGTACCTAATCTATATTTAATACCTATGTATATACTATATACTAGTCTATAATATAACTAAATAAAAATGGGAAATCACGAAACAATGTTATAGAATTTTCACTATTTACATTCGTATGATTTATGTTAAATGTTATAAACTTATAAATAATAAATTAACTTTGCTGTTAGTTATTATTTTAATAATAATTATTAAATGATTATACGTTGTTTAGAAAATAATAAAATCATCTAGTAAATATTCGTTTGGTTAGAAAATATATATTTTATCATTACTTTACTATATCTAAACATAGATTTTGTCATAATTAAAACAAAATATAAAATAATAAAATAATGATGTTATATTATAATATTAAAATACAATAATGTTAATAAAAAACAATTATTTATATGCAATATTTAGACATATTAAAAAAAATAAAAAAATAAAGTACAATAAATTATGAAAATAAAAATATTCTATTGTTAGAGTAGAAAGCTGGAAATGAAAACACATATACCTATTGATAAGCATATTTTCATATAATCGTATAGGACATAGGTCATTACCATTGCAATATGTTAGGGTGAAACGTAAAATCGGTTTCTATGATAGAGATTACCGCGAAATAATAAAACTTTGGTTGATGGGATTTAAAAAATAGCTACCAAAGTGGGTAAATAATTACTTACCSGAAACTCTTGGTCTGGTGGGGAATATTCCCATAAGTACGTATAGTGTTTCATCTGATATTCCATTTCTAAAGTCTATATAAGCAGATTAATAAAAGCAAAAAAGCATTAGCATGTCGAGACTAATGTAAAGCGATACTATACAGACAGCAAGTATTTTACGAGATTAGTTTTTTCTCACTTATGCGTTTGCCCGCCACAATCGGTTCATCTGATTGATATGGTTTTCCGTAGCCCACATGATTCCTAGCTGTAATTCTGACGTCGTAAGAAGACCCTTTCTTCAAGTCCAACAACTTTATGTGTAAGTCTTTTGTGGAACCAATCTGAATATCGGAAAGCAAAGTTAAATTACATTATAGTTTACGTTACTCAATGTTAATAATTTATTTAACATACCTTYCTCCAAGCTTTTTTGTCTACCTCCTTGATTTCCACACAATAGTCTTCGATCGCTATTCCACCATTGTCGAAAGGTGGTAACCAAGCGATTGTCGACGATGTATCTGTCACGCCTGTGATCTGCAAAGGACCTTGTGGTGCTGACGGTTTATCTGTAGCGTTTAAATAAAAATATTAATAATAATATTAATTATATTGCTAGTAGTGACTATAATAATATATTGTCACACAATTTTTGAGCATAATTGTTTAAAAGTTTAAATATACATGTATCTTTATTGTATTTCCTCGTGATAGGTACTTCTATACAAAATATTGTTTCTTATCATAACAATATTGTTTATCATAAGTATTTTATGATTTTAGGTAAGTTTATTTAATGTTAATACTAACTGATCACAGTTATGTTAACTGTCGTGCAATGACCTGAATATATGACTTATCGTTCATTAACTGAGATTGTTTGACGTTCGATATACTTACGGTAACGACATTTCACGGTTACAGGTTCGCTGTCCAAAAAGTCTGATGCACCAACAGCGTTTTGAGCACAAACCCTAAACATGTATTCGGCGTCTTCGTGTAACTTTTGCACGCTGTACGCTGAAACGTCGTGATCTACGTCGGCCACCTTTGACCAGACCATCTTACCCACGTTGCATCTTTCAACCTGATATGACGATATTTCCAAACCACCGTCATCGGATGGCTTATTCCACTCGATCGTCACAGAGTCTGAGTTGATTTCTTTGATGCGCATCGGGCCTTGCGGCGCGCTTGGTTTATCTGTTCACGAAAATATAACAGTGTATCAGAACAACCGTTAGATAAATTATTAATATGAAGTATTCGTTATTTGAATCGGGTGACAATGTTAAAACACATATGATTGGATTTTTCACAATCGCATTCTCTGCGAGAAAGGGGAAGGAAAATAACAAAAAATTAACGGGATTGACACAAGGGGCGAGAAAAAAACATTACCAACCGACAGAATTTCTTTTATTGCTTACCATCATTAGCCGGCTCTAAACACAATACTACACGTTAATATTATATTTTATCGATGTTAAAAACCCTAAAGCCTAAAATGCGACTAACTCACCAATAACTTTGAGGTTCAGATTGCACGTGGCTGTGCCGGCATCATTCGATGCGGTTACTGTGTAAACGCCAGTGTCCGGTCTTTCCGCCGAGTAAATAGCTATTGTCGATGACCATTCATCGTCGTCATCGTATACACTTATGTGTTTATCAGCCACCGATAACGGTTGATTGTTCTTCAGCCATGAAATTGTTGGCCTCGGATAACCCTTGTATGTAGCCTTGACCTTCCATTGATTTCGCACCCTAATCATTTGCGAAATCTCCGATTCGTGGACTTCAATTTTAGGAACATCTTGTACGCTGAGTTTACATGATGTCTGCGCAGTACCAGCTCCGTTGGTCGCTTGACAGGTGTAAGTACCTATTGTAGATTCACTGCACTCAGTGATCGTTAACTTAGCCACATGGTTTTCAAAGGATGTTGTCTTAGTTTTGTATACAATTTTGTTCTTAAACCTTTAAGTATACATTTTTTAATCAAATTTCAAACCATTAATATTCAATATGTAATTAATTACATTATGAATATAACAAATAAAATAAAATGTTAAGTTTTTAAAATCTACGACGCAATACCTAATAAGGTAATTTAGACGATTACCATTTAATATCCGGCGTGGGTTTTCCAGTAATTACACATTGGAGCACTGCCAATTTACCCATTCCAATTGATAAGTCAGATAAAGGTTCTTGAATAACGGGTGGAGTAAATGACCCGGGACTTGCCATCTTAATATATTTTGTATTGTGTGATGTAGGTCCTATTCCAGCACAATTTATTGCAGCCACTTTGAACATTATTTCATGTCCAGTTACTAAATTTGTTACTTCGTGTGTAGTATCTGTCACTTTTACTTTATGCCACCTGAAAAATAATTGTAATAAAAAATGCGTGTACAACTGAAGACATTGAAATATTTCTGTTTACTTACACCATAAACTCATCTTTGTCGTGGTATTCAACAACGTAACCTTCAATAGGTGAATTTCCATCAAACTGTGGAGGTTTCCAATGAAGTGTTACAGAAGTGTCTGTGACTTCGATAATATCTGGAATTCCCGGTTCACCAGGCACCTCTGTAATATGTATAATAATTCATTATTGATCAAGTTTGTTAGAAAAAAAAAAAATCAATACTAACTAATAACAATAATGTTCATATCTGCAGTAGTTTCGCCATAAATATTTTTTAATTTCAATGWTAGGACACCAGTGTCTAMTTCTTCTACCTTCGTAATGGTCAAACTCGCCGATGATTCATTAATAGAATAGGACACCTAAACCAAAATGTAATTTATGATTTTTGTTTTAATTAGATATTAAAATGCACATACTCTATTTGATTTTATTAGTATATTTCMGTTGATAAACCATTCTACTGTTGGCAAAGATGTAGACGTAAATGTAACATCCACGTTTAGATCTTCCCCATTTTTCAAACGATATTCTTTTGGAAGGTTATTTATTTTAGGTGGTTCTTCATTTACTGAAAATTATAGTTCATAATTAAAAATAATAATAAAATTTTTTTAATAGATTTCAACATTGTAAATAGTGTACCTTCAACTTTTAATTTCGTTGATGTTTTTACGTTTACAGCAGTACATATATATTCTGCTTCGTCATCAGTTGTAGGTTTTTTAATAACCAAGGTATGGACGGCTCCTTCAGAAATTATTTCATATTTTTCAGATTCTTTTATCATTTTACCTGATCTAAATCGTAAAGTTTCACAACGTTAAAATAATATGAATTAAATAACAATTTGACACTTAGTACCTTAGCCATTTTACTGGTATATCAGGCTTGGAAAGCTCAACTGTTAATTTAATATTACTACCTTGTACGGCGAGTGTTATATCAGGTAATTTTTTAATGAAACTGGCTCTTGGTTCTAGAAAAAAGCAATTATTAGTTGAGTAGTAATCATTAGTTAAGCAATATTTTGTACAAATTTTAAGACCTAATAGTTCCAGTGCACCTCGTTTAGTGTTCAGTCGTTTGGAGACAAATGTTACACTGAATATAAAGTGAAAAAAGTACATTATAAAATTCTAACATCAGTAGATTAAACGCAGGTATCTACTTTTCAATCTGGGAAATTTTGTATAGCTAAAATTGTCTATTGATAATGTGCAAATACTAATTTTATAATCAGGTTCTACAAAAAGTGTGAAAAATCGCTTTCGTGCATCATATATTTAGTCTGTTGTCAAAAGAATACACATTTGTTGTTTGATATGTCTTTACAAAAATACAATATTTTCAAATATTATTACCTTCGACGGTTAATTTTGCTGTGCAAGTTTGTTCGTGAACTTGACATCCATAAACCCCAGTATCTGTTTTGGTAGCTTTAACTATCTCTAACTTTTGTCGTTTTCCATCGATGGTTAATCTCACATTGTTATTTAACTGTAATTCTTTACCATCTTTTGTCCATTTAACTAATGCATCACCTTTAGTTAATTCGATTTCAAATAACACTTGTTCACCGGTAGCAACTTTTTGATCTTTTAGTTTTTTTATTATTTGCGGTGCTAGTTCTGAAAAATAACCAATTTAATTTAAATTCTGGACATATAATATGCAGAATAAATTGACATAGAATTTTAATACATTATAGATGTTAATATAAAATAATATGAGATTACATTACAAATAGGCTACCTGTAGTATACTATACCTACTAATATTTTTAAACTAACTGTTAAAACAAATAATTGCTTGATCTGTTTAAGTAGCTACCTATTTATTTTCACTCAGGGACATTTTGTAATTTAGAGAAAATCTTAGATATCATATAATCTTAAGTATGCATAACACTAAATCTTTAAAAAAATATCTAATTTTTTAACAGAATATTTGATATGCGTACATTTGTAGTTTTCAATTATTTATAATGGCATCCATCCATCACCTACTTTAAATTTAAACAAATAATGTATATATTTTTATAAATACGAAAGATTTGCTTCAAATGCAACAAATAATTCAAACTAAAAATTATAATAACTCATTTTCTTCTTCATAATTCTAAAAAAATGTATCAATATTCAGTTCGTGTAGCTAGTTAAATGGATAATCTAGTGTATAGAAATTAAATTCACAAATATTATATTAAACATTAAATGATATACTCGTATTAGATAAGTGCACCATGGAACTAAATGCTTAATTTATCATGCCAACGTAATAAATATAATGTTTATGGAGAAATTTAATAGTTCATATATATTTTAGATTCTGGACGGAGCGATGAATGTATTGATTTTACAATTATGTGAGTTTTTATATTTATTTTTTTATTTTTATTTTTTTGTGATTGTGTAGACCATGAGTTGTCGAAATAATGCTTCGATTTTCCACCTTAGCAGCTTTTCTGGTTGGAAAGTAAATCTAGTTGGTGTGTAGGGGTGAAATTCCCAATAGTTTTCAAGACCACTGGGAAAAATAAAAAATTAGAGAAAACGGACATCTTTAATAAAATCGATTGGTGTAACTCTAAAAAAAAAATTACCGATAACACATGAAATTAACAGTGAATGTTTATACTGGCATTTTTTATATTTGATGAAATTTTCAAAATATTTCAAATCTTTTTAAAGTTATTTAGAGACATTTAAAAATTTTAATCTTTTTAGGTTTTTTTTTTAAATGACAATAAAATTGTATTCGTTTCATAAAAAAGCTTCAATATTATCACGACGCTAGTTAAAAAATATTAAAAATATAGTCACTTTTTTTTTTTTAATTAGCATTGGAAGCTTAAATTTTGACAAAATACGAAAAAAAACGAAAATTTTCAATTTATTTTGATCTTGAAATTCATAAAAATGTATTTGTTTGCAAAATCAATTCAAGATTCTTCATAAGATTGTCTATTTTTATCAAATAAATTATTTCAACCGGAAAGTCAAATAAAATTTTTATGTACATTTGGATTACAACATCGGATATTCACTTAACTTCTATCGTACCTACCGATATTCTTATTTTGTTGTTATTAAAAAATGAATAATTCTAGAAATTTGAAATTCACACCAAATGTTTTCCGTTTTTTTTTTTTTATCTTAGTTTTTATTCTATAAATAGCAAAGAAATTTTATTCATTCATGACAATTGGAAAATATTAAAACTACAAAGGCATATATATTTTTTTTTTATAACCGTTTAAAGTTCAAATTTTGACAAAATGTATTTAATTGAAAATTTATAAATTATTCAGTTATTAAAAATGTATAAAATATTTATTTTCAATTAWAGCTAAGGATTGAAAATTTTAAACAAGGTTCTACGTAAGTAGTTAATTCTGTAACAAAAAAATAAATCTAAAAACTATACAAACACAGTTTTTTTCAAAAGTTTTTAAGTTCAAATTTGGATGAAATTACATATTAAATAACTAAGAAAAAAATTATAGTTTTATTGTTGTAATTTAAAAATATTAATCGTGAGTATTTGAAATTTCTAAAGTATGCTTGATATTATAATTTTAATAGTTAATATCTTTAAAGACTTATATTAATACTTAATAATACATTGTATATAAAATAATGAATGACTAAGTGAGTCGAGTACATAATAAATTTGATTTGATTAATTTGGAATTCATTTATAGGTACCTACATTTTTTAAATTTAAATAATAACAATATAATTTATATTATATAGTAGATAACTATAAAGTATCCAAGACTTGCAACCCGTCTCTGCTCAGAATCGTTTTTCGTATACAATGATATTATATTATTGAATTAAAATTTAATACTATCCATTACAGTAACCTACTTGTAAGCTACTGTACAGCAGAGCGACATCCTTTTACCCATTTTTTTATAATTCATTTTCATCTTAAGATGTTATAAAATACAATAAACAACTTCAGATGGTTAATTTCATGTAAATTCAGTGTGTAGTTTTAGAGTATAATTTATAAATCATAATAAAAACAAATTAAAAATCATTTAAATCATTAGAAAATAAATATAATTAGGATATAACTGTATTCTGTGTGATAACTGGTTGTACAAAAATATCGAGTAAGTTGAAGACATTTTCAGATTAAGGGATAAATATTTACCTAGCTATATTAATATTACATTGGATAATATATTAAACAAACATACAAAATAATGATATAATTAATAAAATAGGTATAAATACCTATAACATTTATTTCTGCTGTGCATTCTTGTTCACCCAATGAACACGTATATTCACCGTCATCATGAACAGATACGCTTCGAATAATTAGCTTACGTGTTTGACCTTCCTTTTCGAAGAATATTTTATTTTTCATACCATCCGTAAGCATTTCACCGTTCTGATTATTTAAATAACATAAAAATGAATAATTTTCCTTTAAAAAAAAAAATAAGATATAGGTATATTTACTTACCTTGTGCCAAGTAACATTTACTGTTTCCGAAGAAACTTCTACCTCCAAAATGGCACAATCATTTTCTTTTACTTCGACATCTTCAAGTTTCTTAATGAATTCTGCTTTCACATCGTGAACTATCACTGTGCTGGAAGTAAACTGATCTTTAACAAGACAAGTGTATTTTCCAGAATCGAGAATGCTTGATTTTTTGATAATTAAACGATGGAGTCTTCCTTCTTGGTGTAGTTCTCTATGGTCCATTCCAGAGAGGTCTTTGCCATTCAGTTGCCATTTCGTAGAAACTGTGTGGGATGTTTCACATTCCAAATAAATTGATTGTTTTTCATCAACTTCTACGTCTGTCAATGATCGTACAAATTTCCTATAATGTTATTAATACAATAATAAATGTATATTATACCATGATAAAAGCAAACTATCAATACATGTGCAATAGTTTTATTTATATACTTACACCTGTGGTACATCAACCGACACCCTTGCACCATGTGTGGCAGTACCAAATGTGTTTGATGCTACACATTTGTAATCACCGGCGTCTTCTTCACTGTCAGCATTTACAATCTCCAAAACTATATTTTCTCCATCAAATACTTCCTTTTTCTTTGAAGAAGCAAGTAACGGTTTATTATTTCTGAACCAAGATACTATTGGAACTGGATTTCCAGTTACTTTGGCAATTAATGTAATCGTTCCCTTTTCTTTGACAGTTTGTTCTTGGAAACGTTCAATAAAAAGTGGAGCTTGTGGACCAGGTAGTTCTGTAAATTTATACTTGATATAATTACTTAGTATCATTATTAAGTTATTATGTTCAGGAGGAATATGATGCATCTAGCTATTATTATGTGTTTATTTATTTGGATTTTATTTTTCAAATTATTATTTAACGTAGAAATAATAATAACAATAATATAAAGTAAATCATTTTTTTATTAAAATCGTACACTTTTTTCTTTAACTTAGTTTGAGTATGTTATTTAGTTTATGCAAACATATAGCACGTACCTTCAACTGCCAGAAAACATGTAGTTTGTGCATTACCAAGCGGGTTTGAAGCGATAACAGTGTATTTTGCGGAATCGCGTGGAGTTGGGTTATCAATGGTTAATGAATGAACGCCATCTTTGGTCACAAAAGTTTTGATATCCGTTATTTTCTTACTGTTTTTTAGCCATTCAACCATAGGCTGTGGCTCTCCACTAATTTGAGTACTCAAAACTGCAGTTTCTCCCTCATTTATAGTTATGTCGTATAAAGGCTCAAGTATTTGTGGTTTCTCTGGTAATCCAGTTTTAACTTTGAGAACCAAATCCATTTTAGCCTCTCCCTCTCTATTTCTTGCTATTACAGAGTATACACCTTCTTGAGTCTTTAGGACATCATTAATTTTAATGCTGCTCACATAGAAGTGCATATCTGAGTATGTATTCACTTTAATAGAATCGGTGACTGAAATTTCTCTACCATTATAATGCCAGAATATATCTGGTTCTGGCACGGCTACAAGACGACATTCAATTGTAACGTCGGAGTGTTCCGATGCACACGTAGCTTTAGGTTTACGAGAAAATGTCGGTGGTATGCCTTCTAGTATATCAGCTAACGACGATTCTCTGAAAATCCCATACACACTTTTTAGAAATTATGTAAACTATGATTTTATAATAAGCCATTGCTTGATAGATGATATTTCACGGTTTAAGTCTTATATTTGGAGATAATATTTTAATAATAATGTGTTGGCCACAAATTTTAATTATAAAAACAAATACCTAGACATGCTCTTTCTGGAAAGACCTGTTACATCAGAACCGTGATCTGATAATGGTGCTTCAACAGTTAACTCTGTAGTACTAGATGCAAATCCAGCAACATTTTTAGCAACGCACGTAAACGTGCCAGCATCTTCAGGAAAAACTTCTCGAATTATTAACGTTGCAACATTGTCTTCATCATAAAATATCTGAAATCGATTAATTTTGATAAGATAGAAAACTATATATTAAAAATACTTTATTATCAAAACCATAATTTTATACTAACTTGGAAATCTTGAGAGGGTTTAATAATTGCTGTTTGTCTAAACCATGTGATTTGAGGCCTTGGATTTCCTTCCACATGACATTCAAACTGGACTGTACCACCATCTGGCACATGTTTGGGTTGGAGTTTTTCGACAAAACGCGGAGCAGAAGGTTTTTCAATTGAAGCATGTCCTTAAAATATTTATTTTATGATTAATCAAATGTTCAAACATTATGTGAACCTAAACTACCGGTATTTCTATGTGTCACTTACAATCATGTGGTTCATGAAAATATCAAAGCATTTTTTTTAAATATTAATTGGTACCTACTAAATTGGATGTAAACGGATTAACTTAAATGGTAGGAAATTTTATGCACATTCCCCGATAGCTTCTATTGATATTTTTTTAAATTTTAGAATTAAAACGCATCTAAACTTCTAACTTCCTATAAATCTACGTCAAGTATATTTTTTAGATAGATTAAATACGGTTATCATATGATTCAATGAAAATACCTTACAGTAATACTACTATTTTTATATATTTTATACATACTTTGGAAAATTGGCAGTTTATCAATCTTTTCATGTAATTTCTTTTGTACGTAACGCATGTAGCTGGTTTCGTCTCTCAAATAAATAGAAGGAACCCATCCTTTTTCTTCCGTTAAATGTTTTTTTACAAACCACCATTCTTGATTATTGCTTTCTAAAATGAAAAAATAAAAAATTAGAAATATTTTTGTTAAATTTTTAAATTTCTAAATAACTTACCAATAACATAAACTTTTTCACCTTCAACTAAGTCTAAAGCATCTTCATTTTCAGCAATATATGACCGGATCGCAAACATTATTTCCCCATCATGACTATCTTCGTGTAAAGTGTAATTATCTGAAACATGTCAATGCATATATTTATAATTAAATTGAAATAATTATTCAATAGTGTGAAGCATTAAAGCAGAAGTGACAATACAAGACAATAGCGAAAGCTATAAAAACTGAGCAGAGTTCGTCATACCCTTCACGAAAATATCTTTTTCTTGAACTATTTTCAGCTCAGCTCCATCTGTAGCAAGTAATATAAATTCAATTTAAAAAAAAATAATAATAATACAATTTGTTTAAAAAATTAGTAAGTATAAAGATATTTCTTATAATATATTATTATAAAATAATCAAACCTCATTCATACCTTGACTGAAAGACTGTAATGAAGGCTTTCGCTTAACCTTAAAATCTAACGATTCTTCTTCGTAAATTATTATATCCTGCAATTTCTTTTTTGGTTTCAATTCTATTTGAAATAATTCCTCAGTTCCTTCATCTACATTATAAAATGGCGTATTACGTTTTGGTTTCATTTGAAACTCAACAGATTCAGAGATATCTTCGTTCAATGGCGTTAATTTTTCGGGTGTTTGCTTAACACTGAACACTTTTTCAATTTCATTTAGGATTTCTACTTTTTTCATTGGGAGTTTAAAAATAACAGAAGATTCATCAGGAGATTTCTCTCTTGTTTCMTTTATGAGAGAAGTTTTTTGTTTTAATTTTAACTTAACATCGACATCTTTTGAAGGTTGATCTTTTTCATTAATAATAGTTTCAGTTTGTTCAATAGTTATATTGTCAGACGCTTCTTCTTTCACAATTGAAGGTTTCTTTTTCTGTTCGATTTTTACATCAACTGTTTCAGATATGTCTTGAATTACTTCTGGCTTTTTAATTGTATTTTTAAAGGTGAAAACTTCTTCATGATCATTGAGAGTTTGTACTATTTCCTCTTTCTTTTTGGGACGATTAAGAAGAACTGAAGTTTGTTCGGGAGATTTTTCTTTTGTTTCTTTTTTGAGGGATGGTTTACGTTTTGATTTCAATTTCACATCAACTTCTTCTAAGGGCTGTTCTTCTTCATTTACAACAGGTTCAAATTTTTCAATAGTTATCTCRTCTGATGCATCTCCTTTCTCGAGAGAATGTTTTCTTATTGGTTTAGCTGTAATATCCACTGTTTCAGTAACCTCTTGAACATCTTCTGGCTTTTCAATTATTGGTTTAATCGTAATAACATCTTCGGATGTCTTTTGTTCTTGTGGAGTTTCCTCTTTCTTTTTGGGACGTTTAAGAAGAACTGATGTTTGTTCGGGAGATTTTTCTTTTGTTTCTTTTTTAAGAGATGGTTTTCGTTTTGATTTCAATTTCACTTCAACTTCTTCTAAGGGCTGTTCTTCTTCATTCACAACAGGTTCRAATTTTTCAATAGTTATCTCATCTGATGCATCTCCTTTCTTGAGAGAATGTTTTCTTATTGGTTTAGTTATAATATCCACTGTTTCAGTAACCTCTTGAACATCTTCTGGCTTTTCAATTATTGGTTTAATCGTAATAACATCTCCGGATGTCTTTTGTTCTTGTGGAGTTTCCTCTTTCTTTTTGGGACGTTTAAGAAGAACTGATGTTTGTTCGAGTGATGTTTCTTTTGTTTCTTTTTTGAGGGATGGTTTACGTTTTGATTTCAATTTCACTTCAACTTCTTCTAAGGGTTGCTCTTCTTCATTCACAATGGATTCTAGTTTTTCAATAGTTATCTCGTCTGCTGTATAATTATCCTTTATTAATGGTGTTCTAGTTCTTTCAGGCTTGACATTAACAATTTTTAATTGTTCTTTGTTTTCTTCCGGCATTTCAATTGTTGTTCTATCATTWAAGATTTTTTCTGCATTTTCGTCACCAGGATTTTCCAAAAYTTCACAAGGAATTTCGGAATTTTCCAATTCAGTGAGTATGTTTTGGTTATGCGGTGTCATACCTTCATCAGTGTGATGCAAATGAACATCTTCATTTTCATTTATACTTAATTGTTTTATCGGTTCTTCTAATATTGACTTTCTATGCAACTTCACGTTGCCAGTCATGGAAATTTCTTCTTCCTCATACGTATGAGCTTTTATACTAAATTCTTGTTCAATTACCTCTTTTTGTTTAGTCTGTTTTGGTACAAATGTAATGCTAACAATTTCATCTTCTTCAGAAGTAGAATTTTTATTTCTCGGTTTTAATGTCGAAAAAGCTTCTCTAATGTCAACTTCATTGGATGATTTTTTTTTGTCATCATCTAAAGGCAAGGGTTTTGAAGCATCGTCAATAATGTCCAATTTGGGTTTATAAATTAAGTCATTAACTGGAGATTCGGCCAATTGATCAGTTGATTCTTCTTTTGGAATGTCATTAAACAATTTTTCTGAAATAAGTAAATTATATTATAGAAGATTTTAAATACCATTTGAAGTGAAATTTAAAAAAAATATTAATCCGTTAATGAAAAACACATAAGGAATCATAAAATGCAAAAATGATAATTAGGAATATATCTACTATTGTCAAATATATGAATTGAAGAGAAAAATKACTATAAATAATGCAAAACATTTTTAAAATAATATTAAAAAAAAAAAAATTATAAAGATATATGATCGAAAAAGCTAAATATAACTTAATAATTAATAAACGTCAAATTCGAGAAAAAAAATAGAATAATAATATAATAAATTTCAATAAGATTAATTGAGTATTTAAATGTGTGTTAAGAGAAATAAAAAACTATATCATAAAAAATGATAGTCGAAAAAAATAAACTAAAAAATAATAAAGAAAAAAATATTGAAAACTCCCAAAGTTTATATTGCAGAATATTGAGAAAAGAGTAAATACCAAGAAAAAGAAAAAAACGATCACAATTCAACATAAGAAACATCTATAATATTTTGTATTMTTTTCATATAAATATACAATACCTGACATATGACTGTCCGCTATATAAACTGGAGATGAAGAAAGTGTATCGACATGTATCTTACTATCATTTGTTTGTGAAGTGTCATCGTGAACATGTGTAATGGGTTGTGTTGCTAAGGGAAAACTAGGTATCATGGATGTATGTGGCATTAAAGATAATAACTTTGGTGACGATTTAATTTCCACATCAAGAATTTCTGTAATTTCAGGTTTTGATTCAATCACCTCAACGCTCTCTACTCCGTCTTTTACAGTTTTAATTGTTTTCTTTTTCGT